TGAGCCATCTATGGAAGGGGGCCTCTCCACTAGATGCTTAATAGATGTAGCCTAGAATCTAAACCGTCAGTTACCGAAGAAAAATTATTTTGCTCTGCATGTTGGTCTAGTGACGCTCCATGGGAATCTCTGCAGCCTGTCTGATCGTCTGGTGCCTGTCCAGACATTGCAATCTGTTTGGTGGGTGGGATTTTAGTGCAACTGAGCGAAACTAAGATAACGGTAGCCCTGACTGACATCCTTAGTGGTCCAACCACAGGTCACCGAACACCGGAAAATTGCAAGTTCATGCGATTTTGGCAGTTTACACAATAACAAGCAAAGAGGATGGCATGTACCCAAAAGGTCTGTGGTTTAGTTTATGTTGTGTATACCTCCGCTACTGGTTAAGTACCTGAAAATCTGCAAGTGTCTTTTATTTAGAAAGTTTCTGGATGTTTTACACTGTGTTTCACTTCCTGCACGGTCCCATCTGAACGGCTGAGTACTGGAAGCATAGCATGTCAAAAATAAACTCAAAGCATATATTTAGTGAAGCAATGTGAAACTACGCTTCGGGGACGCGTCCAAAACACCGGTAAAAACACACCCATCGACTAACAGCAGCTATTTTATGGAATACTGTGCCATCTGGGCCAAAAACTAAATAATGTGCATCCAAAAATTGGTGCATTTTTGGCTCAGATGGCATTCCATAATAATTAATGTATACTATGCTTCATGGACATCACACAAAGCTTACCCTCATGCTGGGAAGGTTTGTTGAATTTTCGGAATAACCAAATTTTATTTACCGAATACAACTGTAACGGAATGAAATGACCTTTTTTTTCTCCTCTGCACAGGACTAGTCTGCCTGAGATATGGTCTCAAGGTCTCATGCATTCCTTTTAACCTGCTTATTTGCAGCTCAACAGAAGAATGAAGAATGAACTATTTTCTTTTAATTAATCAAAGAACTCTATCTTAATAAAGCTAATCCATCAAAGTGTTAGTCAATAAATAAGATGTGACCGATCTGTGAAATCAAAATATTAATTAGTAATATGACTTTAAGGTTCCAACAGGACTCATTTCACGTAGCATTAAAAGGCATAACACATTACTTTCACTGATCCAATCAGAATCTTACAGATCTGATGGAGGAGTGGTTTTGATGGTGTCTGGTAATTTTTCATTTGACCATAAACTATAACATCCAAAGTATAAAACTATGCCACGTCAGCCCTAACGCCAGTTCAAAGCGTTCCAGAGAAAGTGATGGAGTGGCCAATCCTGAACTACTCTTCAACCAAAAGAACCAACGACAAGCTGAAAAATTTGTTGCTATTCCAACTGCTGCAAATGTTCCTTTCAGAATAAAAGCTGAACCATCAAGACCCAGGGTTGGGTCTAACCAGGAGCCAACAAAATTGCCGCGACCCGGAAGTAACTCACAGGATGGACCGATCGGCAACCGCTGCTTTTCCCACCGGCTCGGTTCCAGAGAAGGTCAAGCTGGACCTCGATATTACTGATCTAAAGGGGACTTCCTGAAGGGCAGGTAGACCAGCAAATGGTATCTCATGTGTTTATGAACCTCCTAACCAAAGCTTAATGCGAAGACATCACCTTCAGGTCCCATCAGAACTAATCGCTTCTTCAGATTTGCTGGTTCTGATTAACATCACACGTCATCCATTCACCGTCTCATCCACCTTAGTTACACCATAAATTTAGTGCTTAAAGTCAGTCTAGTTTAATTTGTTAGAAATAAAATTCTTAACTTTTAAACTTGACTCTCTCTTCTGTTGTCTCTGAGTGAATACGAAGCGGTTATCTAATCCCTGCAATAAAAAGATCCAATCTCCTGGTTTAAATAACCTCACTGATCCGTAAGGTGGATTTCATATTTCCTATGGAATCCCACGCCTTATGGCTTATTAAATAACATGTAATTTAAATCATTACACAACAGTGTGCAATAAAATTAAGTCACCTGAATGTGTTTGACACTAAACTGATATTAAATAGATTTGCACAGAATGGTGTCATCACAACAGTAAAAGAATCAACGTGAAAATATTTGGGCTTTCCATTGCACATGAGATTTATTTAAGCTTCATGTTGTACAAAGCTTGCAACTACTTGATTGCACTGATTGTAGATGGGGCAGAGAGCAGCAGGAGCTGCCGTGAAAGCTTTGCTCGGTGCTGATTAGGGCTGATGTACACCGGGCACTGTGTGGAACAATTTAGAATGGCTGCACTGACCTTTTTCTTGACAAGCACAGAAATCACTTTGCCCATACACACCTCCCCCCGCCCCATTTCACTATTTCAGTCCCTTTGTACTTGTGTTCTGAGGGTGCTGCAGGATAGATAAAAGATTAATTTGTGAATCAGAAGCCATGTTGACTGCAATATCTCATAAAAGAGATCAAAATGAGACCCAAAAACAAAATAAAAAAAACTGAGGCATATGATCAAAAAACATGCTGTGGGGTTCATAATAACATTTAAAGGAGCAGATAAATTTGGCTTTTTTTTTTTCCACAGGTTGATGTAAATTTAAAGGTCTTGATTAAATGTTTGACATGATTTGGTTAAATTACAATAAAGGTATTTTTTTCCAGCTGGGAAAACTCAGGGATGTTAATGAGGGCTGCATTCCAGTTCAATTGCTGTGCATGCTGGTTTTTCTGCAAAACCGATAAACAGCCAAACTCTTTCCAAATGGAATGAAGCTCATGATTTCCCTATTCTTTAAACTCAAAATGTCTACTGTTAATAAGGCGGATTGCAAAAACAGAATTGGTGATTCTGTCTTTTGAGCTTTCTTTTCAGGAAACACGTGGGATACCTGCCCTCCAACATGAGATTTTAATTAGATTAAAGCTGTGGTCCATAGCACGACATCACCAATCAGAGGAGGAGAATTAGCATTTTGAATGGCCGTAGCCTCGTCTCCCTTTCCCCTTCAAGAAAGCGCCACACTACGCGTGTGCGCACAAATAGCCTTCTAGTCCTATCAGACCAGTCGTTTTTTATATGTTCCTGCTTAGACACAGGAGATTATGTGGTGACGTCAAGTATGCGACGTGCCGATTTCTAGTTTGTAGTCAGTCTAATTACAAGCTTTTACAAGCTAATAAATCTCAAAGCACAGAGACATAATTGCTAATTCTGCAACATTAGTAAGACTGTAGACATCCCACATGTGACATAAAGTAAATGCTGCAACATTTCAGATTTAAGTTTAGAGAAAATCAACACGTAGGCAGAAATTTCAGTTTTATGGCAGGAAAAAAACTCAAATCCAAAGGTAAAACACTTGCTTTCATTAGAATTTCTATTTTATACTTTTGAAAAAATGTGTGAATCTCAAATATTGTTTAAATTTTACTACAAACTTCACTTTTTTCTTGAGAACCCAATCAAGTAAACATTTTGTGCTGCAGCTGTAATAATTAATCCCTTTATTTATGTCATTCATACATCTACTGAGCTTTCTCAGGAGTAATAAAAAATATTTCAAAGCATCTTCATTTAGGCAGAAAGTGAAAGTGTGGCACTAGGTTTTACCTAGCCTGGCAAGCCAGACTAAATAAATGTATTATTGCAAAGCAAGAATTTGGTCTAGTTCACTAGGCTAGGTTTTACCAGCTTTTCACCTAAATGCAAATGGCTTCTATAGTGTGCAAAGCAAATAAATAAGTGGGCACAAGTCCCTCCCTTTCCTTCTCCAGAGTGTGATCACAGAAACGGCGTATCCTCCTGCACACACGCCTCAGAGAATAGACACAGAAGGTAATGTCGGTGTTGGGAGAGAGCCAGGAGCCCAAAGACAAAAAAAGTAGGTTGCAATGTCCCAGTTCTTCACTAGACAACAAATTCAAAAGATGTCTTCTATTTCCTACAGAGAAATCCTCACAAGTTTTCCCAGATCCTGAGCAAATGCTGAAGTAAAAGAAGGGAATGAACCCTTAGAAATAAACGACAAAGCCACCTTTTATTTAGTTCCTCATCCTTCCATTCATGAAGGTGAATAAAACGATTCTATTATTAGTCTAGATTGACTGAAACATATGGAGCACATTAAACTGACATCTTCTGACTGATGTGTGTGTGTGCGTGTGTGCGTGCGTGCGTGCGTGTGTGTGTGTGTGTGTGTGTGTGTGTGTGTGTGTGTGTGTGTGTGTGTGTGTGTTCAGCTAAAAGCCGAAATGTGAATCGTAACGAGAAAGCAAAGGGGGTGGACTCCACCGCTAGGAGCACTGAGTGTACAAACAGCAGCACGACAAAACACAAGTGATTCACTTAAAGAGATTTGGTGCATGAGCCATATTTAGCTCCTCTGCTCTGCTTTTCTATAGATAGAGACGATCATCACAAAAAAGGAGAGGAAATGGAGAAATGAAAATGACAACGAGCAGAAATCATTATGCGGAGTCGGACATCTTTGAGACGACTGCTCCAGTAAAAGAGATGGATGGAGCGGTCACAGAGGAGAAGAGGTGGAGAAGTAAGGATGCCAGCTGGAAGGATGAGGAGCTCTGGGATGTAGCGTAATTAGATTAGAAGGATGAAAATTACAAGAATTTTCCTTGTAACCTCCCCCACAAAACAAAGCCTAAGATTCCAGGCTCCAGGAGATTGAAGTTGAGAAAATTACAAAATATCCTCAGAAACAGACTTGTTTAAGTTTAGGATGCACGAGTGCGGGCTGTTGCGTGAAGTCAGAGAGAAAAATATCTGCTTGGGGATAATTAGGCATGAATAACATGCTGCACGAGGTGATGAGTGAACGATACGCACAGACGCAGGAATTACATCCAAATATGGATTCAGTGTTCTAATCCAGTGACCTGCATTCTCGTCTCCTTGGCAACCAAATAACAGCATTAGGTGTGTGTGAGTGTGTGTGATTTCCCAGCAGAACAGCTGCGTTCAAAACATGAATCCAGAAATGTATCCAAACCGCAGGAACCTGCAGTGGAACAGGAAATGGCAGCGTCTCACCCTGTGCACTTCCTGTTCGAACACGGCTTCATGCACGCTGCACGCAAACAGCGCTGTTGGCAGGTCACTTAGGTCCATCATCTCCTCCGCCATGGCATCCTGGTCGCTCTCCCCAAACACCATGTCCTCCTCTTCCTCCTCCTCATCCTCCTCGGGGTCGCTGCTGTAGGCCTCTGAGCCGTTGCTCCATGCCTTAGAGCTGTCTCGCAACATCTGGAATCCTGTCAGGAGGCTGCTGAGGGCAAGTGGGGACCACAGAGGCTGAGATCTAGAAAGGAGACCAAAAAGTCACCAGTTTAGGAGGAAATTAAGGATTGTGGAGATTATAGCATTTCTTTAATTTCCAGTCCTGGTCCTGCATGCTTTTGATGTTTCTCAGTTCCAAAACAAAAAATAAAATAAAATAAAATAAAATAAAAAATAAAAATAAAAAACCAGATGATAATCTGAAGTTAATAAACTTCTGTAGAAATTAAACAAGCTGTTAATTCACAGCACGTGGAACTTTTAATTATGACTAAGTTTATAATTAATTAAGAGAACCATTAACCACATCTTAAGGTTTTTCAACCCATTTAAACATTGGTCCCATTTTAATTTCTCTGAAAAAACAATATAACAACATTTAGAAAAAATTAAGTAAAATAAAAATTGAAATAGGATAAAAGAAATCACATTTTTTATACTTTTAATGAAACAATGTATTTTTGACCGAAACAAACAAAAATTAAATAAAATTTGACAACATAAAGGTTCCCTGTGGCGCAGGTTTAGCACAATCTGGAAAACATTAAAAAGTGTAGAGCGCCATCTAGTGGTGACGCATAATTCTAGCGTGTCGTTGGTTCATATTTCAAGGACAAAAACGTGAAAATTTCCAGCAGATGCTCGAAATAAAAGAATTAATCTAATTACATCCAAATCCATATAAAAGGCGTCTGCTGTTAAACTAAATGAGCAAAATATTAACCAAATATAAACGATAACGCCACGGCTCTAAAGAGTGCACAAAATGAGTTGGGATAAGCAATAAATAAATAAATAAATAAAATAAGTGCCATACTTTAGCAGAAGCGTTTGCAGTTGGAGTAAATTGTGAACTTTATTCCCAGGTGTGTCCAGCTGCAGAACAGCTGGTTTTATATCAAAAATTCCCACAGATTGAGCTCCATCCGCGGATGAAGTTGCTGCTTTATTTCCCTTCTGTAATCGGCTCAAATGCAAATATTGTCCTCTGTCGTTACTCACCAGGCTGATGTCACTGACCACGTCCGGAACCACCCATTGCAAACGAAACTGGGTCGGATTTTTATTATTATTGATTTATTTATTTTCCTCCTGGGACTTTTCTGGATGGAGCAGATTAGTGATGCTGTTATTTCTGAGGCTTCCGCCAGATGCGTGGGTGTTTATTTCCACTGGATTATCACTGGGCTCTCTGATGGTGCCTACGGTTGCGTCAGGAGCATCAGCTGCAGCCAATCAGAGGTCGGAGGAGGATTGCAGCGACCAATCAGGATGCAGAGAAGGGAGGACGCTCCGCTTCAAGATGGGTGACGATGGAGCAGCGAAGTTTGACTCACTCAGTTGCAAACTGGTTTTTATCACTTTACAACGTCCCAGCGAGTCAAACCAGTTAGATTTAGGATCCATTTATTGCCATAACTGCTCTGTGGCAACATCAGATGAAGCAGCAATTTCTGCAGACTGGTTCCTTTTTGCAGGATTCACCTGTTGCACTTCAATAATTATTTAACATATTTATCATTAGAAAATGTGGTTTGGAGATTTTATGATCCTCTAAGATTTCTGCAGCATTGGTTTTAAGGTTTTAGGTGATATTTACCACAATAACCTTAAACATGTCTGACATTTTTCTGTTTCTGTGATTTCTACAGGTGCTGGCCAGTAAATTAGAATATCATCAAAAGGTTGAAAATATTTCAGTAATTCCATTCAAAACGTGAAACTTGTACATTATATTCATGCAATGCACACAGACCAATGTATTTCCAATGTTCATTACATTTAAATTTGATATTCATAAGTGACAACTAATGAAAACTCCAAATTTGGTATCTCAAAAAATTAGAATATTCTGAAAAGGCTGAATATAGAAGACACCTGCTGCCACTCTAATCAGCTGATTTACTCAAAACACCTGCAAAGGCCTTTAAAAGGTCCCTCAGTCTTGTTTTGAAGGCACCACAATCATGGGGAAGACTTCTGACTTAACAGCTGTCCAAAAGACAATCATTGACACCTTGCACAAGGAGGGCAAGACACAAAAGGTGATTGCTAAAGAAGCTGGCTGTTCGCAGAGCTCTGTGTCCAAGCACATTAACAGACAGGCGAAGGGACGGAAAAAATGTGGTAGAAAAAAGTGTACAAGCTCTAGGGATAACCGCACCCTGCAGAGAATTGTGACGACAAACCCATTCAAAAATGTGGGGGAGATCCACAAAGAGTGGACTGCAGCTGGAGTCAGCGCTTCAAGAACCACCACGAGGAGACTCATGAAAGACATGGGATTCAGGTGTCGCATTCCGTGTGTCAAGCCACTCTTGAACAAGAAACAGCGCAAGAAGCGTCTCGCCTGGGCCAAGGACAAAAAGGACTGGACTGATGCTGAGTGGTCCAAAGTTATGTTTTCTGATGAAAGCAAGTTCTGCATTTCCTTTGGAAATCAAGGACCCAGAGTCTGGAGGAAGAGCGGAGAAGCACAGAATCCACGTTGCATGAGGTCCAGTGTAAAGTTTCCACCGTCAGTGATGGTGTGGGGTGCCATGTCATCTGCCGGTGTTGGCCCACTCTGTTTCCTGAGGTCCAGGGTCAATGCAGCCGTCTACCAGGAAGTTTTAGAGCACTTCATGCTTCCTGCTGCTGACCAACTTTATGGGGATGCAGACTTCACCTTTCAACAGGACTTGGCACCTGCACACAGTGCCAAAACCACCAGCACCTGGTTCAAGGACCATGGTATCCCTGTCCTTGATTGGCCAGCAAACTCGCCTGACCTTAACCCCATAGAAAATCTATGGGGTATTGTGAAGCGGAGGATGCAATACGCTAGACCCAACAATGCAGAGGAGCTGAAGACGACTATCAGAGCAACCTGGGCTCTCATAACACCTGAGCAGTGCCACAGACTGATCGAGTCCATGCCACGCCGCATTACTGCAGTTATTGAGGCAAAAGGAGCCCCGACTAAGTATTGAGTGCTATACATGCACATTCTTTTCATGTTCATTCTTTTCAGTTGGCCAACATTAGAGAAACAAACATTTTTTCATTGGCCTTTAGAATATTCTAATTGTCTGAGATACCAGATTTGATGTTTTCATTGGTTGTCACCTATAAATATCAAAATTAAACGTAATAAACATCGGAAATACATTGGTCTGTGTGCATTGCATGAATATAATGTACAAGTTTCACGTTTTGAATGGAATTACTGAAATATTTTCAACCTTTTGATGATATTCTAATTTACTGGCCAGCACCTGTATATTCATCTTTGACTTATTTTTGTACAGCACCCAGGTCAACAGTTTTAACTGGCCAATAAAAAAAATGCATTTATAAATTGTGCAAAAGTTTTTTTCCTTCAAAAATGTATCCCAAAAATAATAAGTGAGATAACCTGAAACTGATTTGTGCATCAGAACTTTTCTATTTCAGCAATTTTAAGTTTTTTCTGTGTAAAATTTATAAATGACTCGTTGTAGAAAGCTTTCTGAACAGTCTCCACTCAGAGAAATGAAGTTTACATGAGAAAAGATTGATGTGCTAACAGCTAGGTTGAGCTCAGCCAACACCAAAGGATTTTCCTCTCATCTTTAAACGACATAGTCTCTAATTTCATTGAAGTTAATGAAAACGTCCTAAATATAAAGTTTTGACTCATACGATTGTTTCTACAGAAATAAGAAATTTTTGCTGGATTTGAGACTAAATAACCTAATAAATCCATGTGAACATCCATGTAATGGGAAGTTTAAAGTGGTGTAAAGAATTATTTAAACTAATTTGCATGAACTACAATGAAAGTTTAGAGACTGGAGCAGTTTCAAGATGGCAGCAACACATTATGATTTTGGCTGTGCTCACACTAGCCATTAGCTTATTGATACTGTAGAACCTTAACACCGGTTCTCCAAACAAAAACATGATCTGTAACTAAAACTGACTTGAAAATACTGCCTAGCCAATGTAGGCTTTATGCTCAACTGTTTCGTTAAAGGGACCTGGTTAAAGAGTGGTTTTAGCTTGCGTTTAGCACCCCCTGGTGTCCATTTAGTAGAACTGAAAGCAAAATCTAGCTCCTGGCTGTGTGTTCGGCTTTTTAACAACTCAATCTAACAGCTGAAATGTCTCCTTAGCATTCATTAGTGCCTACAGGAGAGATTCATCACGGAATCAAATAAATCAACTGTTCATGATCTATAAACATGCAGGAAACGAGTTGGAAACAGACTGCAGCGCCAGGTTTGTCAGTTCTATTTCTTTTGAAGTCCAAAAGACTGGACTGGCAACTTTGAAGTTGCAAGTGGAATATTCACTAACCCTGTGAAAGGTCATTTTAGCACATACTAGCTCAAGAAAATGATTTAAAATTATGAAAAAGTTGCAGTGTCTCTCTAAATTGTTAACCGAGAGTGCAAACTTGGAGAACATACGGCGAACGGATTTAAACAAGGAAGCAAAGCACCTAAAAAGGTGTCCATTGATGCCCCCAGCAGGAGTGATAAAATGAAGTTTAATCGGGAATGATTGTCTGTGCAGCTTACTAATCATTTACAACAGAAAGCAGCGTTTGCGTCATGAGAAAGTAATTTATCACCAGGTGGTTTCAGATTTATTTATTATTACACACAGATGGGTCTTTTAATGCTAAACTAACTCCGTTTTCACTCCTTTCTGACTCCAACAGTAATCTAAAGCTCTGTCTTGAGGTACATTAAAGGAAACAAAGTCAAAACTCATAAATATGTCAATAACTTAAAACAAGTTTTTGGTAATACAGTAAAATCCCCAGAATAAAGAGCAGAGGTCAGTTAAAACAGCTTCTGGATCATAGAGGAAGCTCTGCAGCTGGAATCAATGCTGACTTTTAAAAGTCTAAACGTTAAATGGAAGACCAGATCTGCCTACAGTTCATTCCCAGTAACACCTGAATAGTTAAATCTTTTACACTGCTAACTTTTATAAAAAAAAGTCAACAAGGAACACTGTTGGGTGTTTTATTCTAACCTCACTTCCTCTTAAATCAGAATCAGGTGGTTTCTTCACTCCGATTCCACCTGTTAGCCGTTTTTGCTTCCTGATAGAAGAAGAGAGTCAGAATCGTTCTGCAGAAAAACTTCCCAAAGTTGGTGGCATTCCTGAAGCAAGTTCATCTCCTCTGAACTTTCCCAAGTCAGGTGGTTTGGAAGAGAAGTTTGCATATTAAGGCGAGGTTGGAGGCTGGTGAAACAAAGATGGCAGCTTTAAGGGGTGCGGGTGTTGGTGCGGTGGAAGTGAGCAGTGCTGAGTTCTAATCCTCCTTCAGGCCGGGCCGGTCTGGGTCTGAGGTCATCACGCTGACGGATGCGTACTCCAGGTTGGCCGGTAGAGTCGCCGCGGCCACGCCATCGTTGTTGACAAGAGTTCCGTAGGAGAAAGAGCCGTTGTAGTCCGGCTGCACGACCAGACCTTTGTCATGAATGGTCGGAACGCCTGGAAAGGGCAACGGTGAGTCGCACGAGAAACTCGCACTAAGAATAAATAATCATGAATTTTATACAGACCATTGGCCATATCCATAGTGACATACGGCTCAAAGATCTTGTTCTTTTTCCTGCTTTTGGTCATGAGAAACACTCCAAGGAAGCACAACGCAGACCTGCACAAATCATAACAAGATCAATTCAGCCTCTGAGCCAAAGAAATAAAAATCACTATTTCTCCCAGCCGATACGATTAGCAGATTCATGCTGGTTCTGTTTTATTAGAGTGAAGAGAAAAGGAGCACGCCACGTCTGAAAATCTAATGATCCAAATGGAATTAGGCCTCGTCTAATCTCGTTAATAATACAGTAATGTGTCTAAATGGGAAAAGAGCTGATGACTCACCCCAGGACAAACATGCTGACGTGAAGGACGTCTTCATTGTTAAACTCTAAATAAAACACAGCTCCTACAAAACAAACACACATTTGAATGCTTCTGCAGCGGCGGCTTTAATGGAGCACAGGTGGAGCCACTTAGACTCTGTTGATTCTGACTCAAAACGAAGCTAAACTCACCAGCTACCACTGCAAAGAGGGTCGAGAGGATGTAGTTGACACACGCAACCAGAGAGGAGTCGTGCAGTCTGGAAGCTTGGGAGAGAAATCTGAAAATACACAAACACACGTTGCATTTGTTTGAATAATAGTTTATTCTAAAAAAATAAAATAAAATACAATGGTTCAAAAAGCTTCCATGGGAGTGGGAATCCTTCCTCACCTGGCCTGGAAAACCACCGATGCCACCATGCACACAAACATTATGCTGAAGATGGGGTTGCTGAGCTGCATGGAGCCTTCCAGGGTGAGAACGAGCATACCTGCGACGGCCTTCGCCGTAATGACCGTCACCGAACCTGTTCACGGGGCAAAAACAGTTGGGTGTTCGGTCCGATTACCGAGCAGGAAGCCTGCAAAGCAGGAGACTCACCCAGCAACGCCACCAGCATCAGGATAACAACGAGGTAGTTTGTGTTGTGTTGTTTGTAGAAATACAAGAGCAGGCAGAAGGCGATGATCTCCAGGAGCTGTCAGGAAAACAAAAATGTTCTTATAGAAAGAGAAATCTAAACATTTCACTGTGCTGAAACCAAACACCTCACCAAATACAAGAGAACAGGCCATCCTACGATGTGCGTCACTATGTTCTCCGCTTGGAGTTTTTCATGAGAGTTTGGTCCAAACGAAACAAGGAGGTATGTTCCTCCGATGGTGAAGATGTAACCCAGGAAGGAAAGACCATAGTTCTCTGAAAGGAAACATTTATCCACTTTATGCATCATTTTAATTTGCATAAAATGATGCAAGATCTGAGATATTTGCGTTCATCTGACTTACTTACGAACTGCTTTGGTTTATGTTTATCACGCAGAAATAGGAAGCCCAGGATTGAGCTTGCTGAAAAACACGAGATTTTCCTGAATTTTCCTTTCTGTCACCGATTATTTACTGATAATTTGAAGTAAATGACTCACTTAGGACAGACACAGCATTGAGAGGAGCGATGACGGCCAGAGGAGCAAAGGCGTAGGAGACAAAGTTGGCTCCCTCCCCGACGCAGATGAACACAAAACCAAACCACCAGGTTTTAGTCTGGTAGAAGGTGCGCTGCTCCTTCGTCACAGCCAACGTCACGTGGCTGTACTTCTGAAAGAGGAAAGGCGTGCAGGTCAAACCCAACAAATGCATCATGAATGGCTTATTATGTTGACACATTATTTTTCTAATCTGTAAACACAGCAATCCCCAAGGGATTATTCAAATTATCAAGTAACACAGTTAACCAAATTACAAGGAAATGACACATGAACACTTTCCACAGGTTTTAATAAAAGTACCTGGATGCTTAAGGAGATGCTGACAATTAGATTCCCAAAAATCGCAAGCAGAGTTCCAATAAGGTTGTCCTAAAAACAAAAGAGCTATTAGTTCAGTCAGGCTGGATACAAAGCTACATAAAATAGCTGGTATTTTATCTTTCTAAACGTCAACAACCGCGATTTCTTTTATAATTTAGGTAACGAAACGTCAAAACATAGTATTTAAATCAAATTAAGACTAAAATAATTAATAAAAAATAAGTAATAAATGTTGTTTAAGATGGCCTCACCGTGTAGGATCCTCCATCGTAGTCCATACTGTTCCCTTTAAAGCCAGATTATTTATTCTAAAACGAAACCAGGCAGCCAGATATCAAATACGTTAACTTATCGCATTGCTTCCTGTCGGATTTTAAGTATCTATCGCTCATTTTTGTCCAATTTCGAGCTTTAACGAGAGCATTTTTCGAAGGAGTAGCATCTCACTTCCGTATTGAATTCACCTGCTTCGGACTGCGGCCTGACGTCAGGTCACGTGACAGTTCACTGAGAAATTTCAAGATTTCCTTTTTTATTTAGTTATTATTTCAATCAAAAACGGTAGTAAACAATTTATTCCTGCTTGTGTTTTTTATATTCGTTTTTTCTTCATTGATAAATATTTTGAATAATGACTGCAGTTCTGTAAATGACCAGTAGGTGGTGGTACTGAGCTAAAACTGATCTGGGAACAGACAGCTGAATGGAAAACCACAGACAATGGTGGTCACACTTTTATCTGATGACTGCTAAGTTCTTATCCTTTTTATACAGACATTTGATTACTGGAGGTTTGATTACGCTGTATGTTATAATTTTCTAATCAATAAATAAACAAATAAATAAACAAATAAATAAATAAACAAATAAATAAATAAATAGATAGAATAAAAACAATGATGGTCACTCGCAATCATTGATCCCATGTAGTTATAATATTAGTTAGTTGTTATTAACAAGACACCATCATCAGAGGAAGTAAAAGCTATGTTTACTATTGTTTTGCACCCCAATCACAACACCATGAATTTCGCCTTTGCCTTTTAAAACCAAATTTAGGTAATCCCATTTCATCTTCATACAATTACAACTCTGTCTTTCGTGATCTTTTTGTGATCGACTTTTGTTGTGTAATTCAGGTGGAATGTTCTCACTTTTAGTTTGCCTTTGGTACAGTGAAAGAGGGAACAGCACACTACGTCAGCAGTAGATGCAGTAGAAAAAACAAAGGCAGGCCACTGTAGGGTGTGAGCCACTGTTTTAACATCAAGAACTTTTAAAATGTTTCAAAAGCAGGTGCACGCCATGTGATCGTCTGATGGGTCAACGTTTCCATTATTTAACGGCAGAAAATGGATTGTATACATGAACAGTGAAGGTCATCTGATATTTGTTTCAGTTAGCGTCCATTTTTGAAATATGTTAATAAAGATTTTCAAAAAAGTATTTTTAAAGTTTGATTCATTTAATCAATTGTTTTCTTCCAGTCAGAACTAGATGTTAAGTGAGGCATTACATCTTTATCTGCAGCTGAAGCAGCTGTCACTTTTTGCGTTTCAGCTGCTAAGCAGCAGGGGGAGTGCAACGATGCAGGCTGGAGATCAAAGACATTTCCGTGCAAGTAAGTCATATGACAGATTTAGTTAGAATCTGTGGCAAACATTCAATCAGGCTTGTTGAGTGAATTTGTACGATGTAATGCCGCGTCAGTCCTTTTTCTAATCCTGTAATCATCATGACCTGCTGGGATCGATGTGTTTGTTTTTCTGTCATTCAATTTTTCATTTTGAATGTTGTGTTTTGTCCTGCATGACTCACATACTAATTAGACTTTCAACACTTTGATGTTTTAAACTTGCAGTAATGACACTTGGCGTAGTGGAGCATATGTCACGAAGACAGTTCTGGGAATCAGAAAGGAAATAGAAAAGTGTTTCAAGCCCAGGGTGTTAACAGGTGCATACACCTGCATGCAGGGCAAATTCTTTCAATGCACAACTTCTTGTAAGGCACAAGTAGTAATAATAATAACGCTCTCAATAAACCCACATTACACATCCAGCCTAACAAACATGTACACTCTTTAAAGGGTTTAGTTATTTTCCTAACCCAGCTGCTGGGATGAGGCTGTGAAAGTAAAATGGGACAAAAAACATATTTAGCCAGCCTCCAATTGCGCAAGCTCTCCCGCTTAAAAAGATGAGACACCTGTAATGTTCATCATAGATATATCCCAACTATGAGACAAAATGCTGAGAAAAAACTCAATCCATCGATTTCTTTTCCTTTGCATTAAGGAAGTGCATTGTAACTCAGCTTCTTTCTGATTTCTGATTATATCGACATCATTTACCAGAACTCCACAGTTGCACGTCTTCAATCTCTTGATGCTGTAGAAAGTAGCTATCGTTTTGTTCTGCGTTGTCCTTTCAGAACTCACCACTGCCACATGTATGAACACCTTTCATGGCCCTCCTTAAAAGCTAGGCGTCAATTTCATTGGTTGTTACTTATTTTCAAATAAGTTTTCTTTGATTTTCTGTCTTATTTGAAAACATTGTTAGTACTCATCAATTCTTTGTACCATACTCAGATTACTGACCAGTTTTCTTTTCTAATTCCTCGGTTTAAAAAAGAAGCTGGGAGACGTGCTTTTGTGTTAAAGCTCCTTGAGACTGGAATAAGTTACTTGCAGATTTCAACTCAGTCTCTTCATTTCATTCATTTATTAAATCTGTTTATGGGCATGTTATACAGACTTGTTTTGATTCCACTGCCTAATTATATGACCATATCCAATGTATCAGCAACGTTGCAATGTGCAATCTACATGTATGACAGAGGTCAAACATTTTGTCTTCACACAGTGTTTAGTGGCGTGTCCAGATCTTTTAAAATGGGGTGGCCCAGGTGAGGCACAGCTTTGTGCATGGGTGGCACCAATGGTTATGCTTTTTTTGTTTTAACCCCAAGACTTTTGTGGACGATGAAAAGCTTATTTGAAGGTAAATTAGTGTGGTGACACCTGGGGTGGCCCATCAGATTCCAAGGGTGGCATGTGCTACCCCAAGCCACTCCCTGGACACGCCCCTGACAGTGTTTCTGGTATTTTGGCCCATTCCTCCATGCAGATCTCCTCTAGAGCAGTGATATTTTGGGCCTGTTGCTGGGCAACACAGACTTTCAACTCCCTCCAAAAATTTTCTGTGGGGTTAAGATCTGGAGACTGGCTAGGCCGCTCCAGGGCCTTGAATGCTTCTTATGAAGCCACGCCTTCGTTACCTGGGTGGTGTATTTGGGATCATCGTCATGCTGACAGACACAGCTTAACACCAAAGCGTCAAACTCAGGTCCTCGGGCCAAATCTGGCCCGTGGTCTATATTTGGCCTACATATCAAATATGTATTAGAGCTGGCCCGTTGGCTCATTTGCAAGTGTGTTAGTGCATCACTCAAAGTGCCCCCTCTTTCCTCCTCTAGCTCAGAGCCCAACCCCAGAGATGCAGGTATCTTGAACCATCGAGCATCAGAATAAATCAGAGTGGAACAAATCGAGCTTGAATTATTGTGGTTTTATGCACTTTTTCTGCTTCAAAGTATTAATGTTAATAGTTGAGATAATACATTTTCATTTGTGAAAATTATTATTTTTTAGTTTTTTGTTGTTGGTCTGTGAAAAAGGATTTAACCTAAAGTAAAATGGGAGCTGCAAAGGCTACAGATAGAAGAATAGAATAGAAATAGAATAGAAAATGTCTTCAGTGTCCCTCAGTCGGGAAAGTTTGGTGTCGCAGCAGCAATGACATTTATTACAGGATCAACAAAGGAGGGTAAAAAATATGAATAAAGAGTAAACAACAAGAAAAGATTAAACACTTTAAAAATTCTAAATAAAGTTTCGAAGATTAAAATTCAAAGATGTTGCTGCTTTATTTGTACATAAATTAAGAATAAAAAGATAAAAATTGAGGCATAATAAGTAACAAATACCACTGATGTGTGTTTTATTTCAAACTGACCTGCTCGTGTGTAATTCGGTTATTCCAGATTCATTGTTAAAGCAAAAATAAGTTAGTTTCCAAATGAAAAGGTTCAACATATCTTTAGATGTACACATTTGCTGTCAATTTTTTTTTTGGATAAATATTGAGTTTGGCTGACGACTTCGCCCCAGATTTTCATTTCAGCCCAGTTGGAATTTGAGTTTAACACCCCTGCTTTTCATGGATCAGTCGTCCTAGTGCCTTTGCAGAAAAACAGCCCCAAAGCATGATGTTTCCACCCCCATGTTTTACAGTAGGTATGGTGATCTTTAAATGCAATCCAGCATTCTTTCTCTTTCAGTGAGGAGAGTTTTTACGGAAATGTTTTATTTTGGTTTCATCTGATGAGATGACATTCTTCCAGTCCTCTTCTGGATCATCCAAATGCTCTCTAGCAAACTTTATAAGGGCCTGTGCAGGTGTAGGCTAAAGCAGTGGCTGATGTGCTTGGACCAATTCTTTTCACGTTATATATGCTTCCAGTTTGTAAAATAATCAGACAGCATAGGAAAAACTTCCACTGTTATACTGATTCTACTCAGTTATATTTATCCATAAGCCCCGATGAACCTAATCAGTTAGATTGATTACAGGCTTGTCTTGAATATATAAAAATCTGGATGACTCTAAAATTTCTGCTTTTGAATCCAGATGAGACCGAGGTTTTCATTTTTGGACCAGAACCTCAGAAAAGGAATCTACTTAGTCAATCAACTGATCTGAACAGGATTAAATTGGCCTCCAAGAACCTTGGTGTTATCTTTGACCAGGCGATGCCATTCAAATCCCACTTCAAACAGGTTTGTAGGATTTTCTTCTTCCACCTTTGGAATATTGCTAAAATTGGAAACATCTTGTCCAGGAGTGATGCTGAAAAAGTAGTTAATTCAACAGACGAACTAGTAGTAGCACATTTTATGATTAAAGAAAGAAAAAGTGTTAACTCATTCACTGTCACTAACAATTAAAGTCGTCAACTGTGTTTTTTAACGGGGCAGGCTTGTGAATGAGTTTGCACACCTTGAAATTAAACATCATGGCGCTAAAGTTGATTTTCACTCGTGTGTGTCACACCTCATGTAATCATAAAGCAGACAATCCATGAGATAGGACATTGTTTTGGGACGTCGCTATGCCGAAAGTGAGGCGCAAACCAGAAAAGCTGACCCCAGGGCACTCGCAGGGGAGTGGTGGTGGGGCACAATTTTTACTCATGACAAGATAGCATGAGGTGATCAGTAAACATTATAAGGTTTGCTCCACACAAACACAACTCAGCTGAAAAATGGTGGTGTTGCAGAACATTTAGCTCAGTTTTACAGCTTACTGTCAGACTCTGAACCAGAAAATGGCTGCAGGCAGTGAAGCAGAAAGCAGAAAACTCCGGAGCAGCCAGTGACTCCTCCCCCTAGCCAATCAGCAGCCAGAGTCACGATGCCAGTCTGACTCA